GATGCTAGACCGACTCTTGGCTTGAGTACGATCATCCAGCTAGCGAAGTGGAAGAAAAAGGGCTTTAGCTGAGTCCTTGCCAGAGGCGTAGAAAACGCTCACCAGGTGCGAGCTGGTCTTATAGGAGGAAAGCGGAGGGGAGCAGGAGAGCTGGGGGGCGGTGACGTTTCTAGCCAGGAGGGAGTCGTGCTCTTCACTGCTAGAGTCGGGCAGAGCTCTTCCAGGGAGGTGGGGCTTCAGGGGTGTCCATGCCCCCTGTGGGGTGCTTTTGCCAATGCAGATTCCGGGGTTCCCACCTACACCCCCTTCTTCAGACTCGCCAGGGGGCGGGCTCTGGCAGTTTTCCAAGCCCCTTGGTTGATTCTGACGAAGTTTGAGAACCACCAAACGTGACCACATGATGGCTCTGGAGACACTGGTCCACCCAGACTGCCAAGGTCATGGGAGGATGGCCTTTCCAGAGGGATGAGGATGCCTGAGAGGAGGTGGGAGCCGCTGAGTGAGGCCTGGGAATAAGGGACTAGTAAATAAATGCTGGCGAGCCCTTGGGTGGGCGTAGAGCAAGGATGGGAGGCAGTGGGAAGCTTGAGATTGGCGTCCTCAGCTGCATCTAAGCCAGTGCTTCTCAATAGGGAAGAGTACATGTTGCTTCCTCCCCAAAGGGACACTGGGTGATGTCTGGAGATGTTTTTGGTTGTCGCAACTGTCAAGGGCACTGGGGCAGTTAGTGGCATCTCATGGGTATAGACCAGGGAGGCTGCTAAACATCCTACAATGCACAGCACAGCCCCCCACAGCAAAGAATTATCTGGCCCAAAATATCAATAGTTCCAGATTGAGAAACCCTGATCTAAACCGAGACCACTCTGGGCAGCTGGGCGGGACCAGGACCCCTGAGCACTGGAGAGCCACTGTCCAGGCTTCTGAGACGTCAAGACAGGCCCATCCGCCTCCATCTAGGGGCTCCCAGTATATTTATTTAAGGGAGGAAATGATGCATCAGAGTTACCAAAATTGCATTTAACAGATAAATACATTCAGCAGCTCTACTGCCTTTGGAGGGAATACCCAATATCTGAATTTGAGGTTTTTTACAAGCATAAGGTCCCATCAAGCCACTCCCCCACCCCTAAAAGCCCTGTTCTCGGTGATTCTCAGCTAGGAGAATAGCAAGAAGGAGACGACTGACTCAAGCTTTCTCCACTGCTCGCTGGCAGCGTGACCTTCGACAAATGACCTAATCTCTCTGAGCTTCAGTTTCCTTAGTTGTCAATGAAGATAAACATAGCTCTTGTTTAGTAAGTGCCGACTGTGTACTAGGCATTTTACGTGCATGACCTTATTTAACCCCCAGGAGAGGTGGGCCTTGAAGGGTGAGTAGGAGTCAGCTCTCGGCAGAGGGAAGATGAAAGGGCATCCTGGGAGGGCAAGTGTACATGTCAGAGTGGACACAGTGTGCTCCCCGGGAACAGTGGAGAGTGGAGGTCAAGGCTGAGAATGGTGAGAGATGAGAATCTAGAAGGGAAGCAGAGAATTCTCGAATTCCTGGGCTCTGTGAACAAGACATGACAGCTCAGAAAGGGTCTGAGTACAGACATCCCTGCCTGGGACCCCCTCACCCCAGGGAAGACACCCCTCTCTCAGCTGGAAGCCGTGTGTCCCTTGATTTCCCAGTCCTCAGAGACATTAAGGCTTCCAGCTGCTCTGTCCAATACTGTCGCCACTGGCCACATATGGCTACTTAAATTTGATTGCAGTTAAATACAATTAAACATTCAGTCCCTCACCGACAGTAGCCAAGTGCAAGCACTCTGTTGCCACACGTGCCTAGTGGCTGGAATGCTGGACAGCGCAGATGTAGAATGTCTCGATCGTTGCGGGAGATTCTCCCAGAGCACGCTGGCTTAGAGAAATCTTGGCTGTTTCCTACAGAACCAGCATCTTCCTTTCTGTTTCTGTCCGATCAGCCCATAAGCAAATGAATAGTACGAGCGACAGCAGGTGCCACATGGTAGTGCGGTAAGCTTTAGATCATTTAACCATTGCAGCAACTCCCTGCACTGGGTATTATTTTTAACCCTATTTTAGAGATGAATAAACTAAGAATTGGAAAGCCTAAGTGTCCAAAATATCCAAAGTTGCACAGCTTGTAACCAGCAAAGTCAAAAGTTGAACCGGATTCCACCCCATCCACCGTCCAGTGCCACACTGCCCACAAGAACCCGTCCAGCAGCTGGCTTCCCGGGTGAGCAAATTCTAGCAATGAGCCAGATATTTCCCTCAGACCTCGGTTATCGCTGCCAGACGCAGGGTGGGGAATCTACCTAAATCTCCTGGTTTTGCTCCTGGATAAATAAAAGCAAAATAGCTCAACCCGGATGTTCCCCATGGTCCCATATTAAAAATATTCTTCCCCTGCTCAAGACACAGGACTCTTAAATAAGTTCGTGTTGACAAAACACTTCAAATGCATTATTTAAACAAAGGCGTTAAAGACTTAAAAAAAAAAACAAGGATGACAGTGACAGCAGCTCTGCCTGCAGATTCACACAGGATGAGCCACGTGAGCCGTTTCAGAATTGCCTGGGTAATTGTACCCTGGCTATTTTGTAAACTGGCCTCATTCAGCAAAAGATGTCGGATAACTTGCTCCTTAGCCTCTGGCTTAACGTGAATAGGTTTTCCTGTCACTGTTTAAAAAAAGGAAGGATCTGGGCCCAGCAGCCATCAGACCCAGTTTCGAATTCCAGCTCTGCTGTGCGCTTACTGCACGGCCCCGGGAAACTTACGTAACTTCTCTGGGCTCAGTTTTTGTGTCTGTAAAATAGGACTATGCATGTCCATTGAGGTTAAATGAAATAACTTCTGTGCAAGTGCCTGGTACATTACAGATGTTCGAACAGTATCCACCTCTTCCCTCCTCTGCCAAATCCCCATTTGTGGCCACGTGAGATCCTAGAATCAGGAGTTTCGGAGCTGAGAGGGAGCTGAGTGACATTTAGAGCAGCCCTCTTCACAGACAATTCGTCTGTTTATCACCACCTAGGTAAACCATTGACTTGGAAAATATCTGTAATCAAGAACGACTCCCAGTGTGTTTTGGTGACATTTTAAAGAGGGTAAAACAGAATGTTCCGTCTGACAATTGCTGACCTCTCCAAGCAGAAGAGCGGAAGTGGCTTAGATGTGGGCCGCCAGGACTTTGTGAAATACAGCAAAGAGAGGGGTCTGGCAGCCCCCAAGTGAGCAGCCGGAGGGGCCGCTCGGGACTATGCACTCCCCTGGGCTCTGGCTTCTAATTCATCCCAAATGACCATCAGCACCGGATCAGGGGTTGGTGGAAATTATGGAGCCAAGACAGGGCGTCCTCAAAGCTGAGAACATAGAACAAAGGGCTAGACGAGGGCCAGCCTTGACACCTGGGACCAAAACCGAGATGAGCCACAGAGCAGCCACATTGCCCAAGGCTGGAGAACAGACAGATGCCGTAGTCAGAGTAAAACTGGATGCGAGGGTTACAAAGAGGCAGGTTGTCAGGAAGCAGAGGGTAGAGCTCAGAGGGTGGAGGAACCGAGGTGAGGCGGGGCTGGCCGGGAGATGTGGATTTTAATGCGAAGTCAGTCCCATCTCAGCCGTGACTTCTGTCCGTCGCAGAGGATGGCCAGTGTGTGGAACCTGGCTGAGACAGCCTCCTCCGAACCTATTAGAGGTCACAAGCGGGCAGCCAGGAAAGCTTCACGGTTAAGAAGGCAGCCTCTAGAATCAGAAATAAGCTTGGTTTTGAATCCCAACTCAACCATCACTAGCAGTGTCGCTTAGGCTGGTGACTTAACCTCTCTGAGCTTCTGTTTCTTCATCTGGTGGAGATTGTGAGGATGATGATGGTGATAATAGAGGAGGGGGGGCGATGCTGGTAATGATGGTGCTGGTAATCAAGATTATGATGGGATGAAGGTGATGAGGAGGAGGATGAGGTTGATTACGGCAATGGCAATGGTGATAATGAGGATGATGCTAACACTGGTGATGATGGTCGTGTGTCTGTGGTGGTGATGGCTATGCTGATAAGGAGGAGATGTCGGATGATGATGATTATGATAGTGATGGTGATGATTTTAAGAATGATGGCAGTGGCGGTGGTGATGGTGGTGATGGTGACGGTAGCGACGATGATGCTGGTGGTGGCAGCGATGGTGGGGCGATGATAATGATAATGATGATGATAAGTGATGACAATAACGAGAGCCTCCACTTCAGAATGGGTGAAGAGTAGGCTGGAATACTGTGACCTTGGGCAACTTAGCTTCTGTCTCACTCACTCCATCTGTAGAATCGTGATTAATATTCATACCTACCTCATAGGGTTGTCACAAGGATTAAATTAACTAAAACTTACGTAAAGTGCTTGACGTATAGTAAGTGCTGAATAAACGCTAGCTATCACTATTAATAGTAGCAGTATTTTTCTTGCTCTGTTCCCCTTATTTGCAGACTCATTCCTGTTTATCCTGGCTGGTATCCTCAGTCTTATTATCAGTGTCTCAGCGATGGAATGATTTACCACCCTGGCCCCCAGGACTGGTTTCCTTCCCCACCCCTCCCGCCTCCTACATTTTCCACCATTAAATCTTGTGGGCATTAAGTTGTCCTGGGGTTCTGCTAGGAGATGGGCCTCCTGTGTTTCTAGATCTATGAAATGGGGGAGGGGAACAAAATCCACATCACAGCCCTTCTGAGATGATTTTCACAAAGACGGGTGTGTGTCAGCCATCGGTGCCGACTTGAGGAGCTCATGTTCACGCCTGACAACAGGGCTGCTTCCACCCGTCGCTGGTGACCCTACGCAGCGTCAGGCTGGGCGCCCAAGGCACGCTGGCTCCACATACAGTGCTGTGGGTGAACCGTGGAGGTTCTGTGCTGACTCAGGACTTCCAGACCAGGGCCACCAGCCGGTCCTCCTGACATCACACCTTCCTCACCTCCCCTGACTTGCTTTGCAGAGACCTGGATGGCAAGTCACACAAACCACTGCCCCTCGGCGTGGAGAACGACCGAGTCTTCAACGACCTGTGGGGGAAGGGCAATGTGCCCGTCGTCCTCAACAACCCATATTCAGAGAAGGAGCAGGTAAGCGGGTGGTGCCAGCCTGGCACCCATACTCCACGGCTCCCTGAACCCTCTCGGGTGTGAAGATGCGGTGAGGGGAGCCAAACCCCAAAACATGCTGGACTGGAATCCGCCACCATGGCTGGAGCCCTCGGGAGGCTGGGGCCAGGAGTGCTTATCCTGGAATATGGATTTTGGCTTTTGCTTTGTTTTGTTTTCTTTGTGAGCTTGCCATTTTTCAAATTTTAATTGTTTCTACCATGAAAGGCATTCACATGGTTCCAAATTTAAAAGATATAAAAGATGCATGGTGAAAAGCTTTTCTCTCTCCCCTAAACCCAGACACACAGTTTCCCTCCACAGAGGTAAGCAATATTCATCATTTTTGTGGTCCTTTTAGTAACATTTTATGCATAGACAGACACAAACATTATTTTGATATATTTTTTACACAAATGAGAGCACATTATACATATCATTTTGTACCTTGCTTTTTTAGTTATCAACATATCTTGGTGATTAGTCCCAATTAGTAGATAAAGAGAGTCCTGGTTCTTTTTCACAGCTGCATAGCATTCCCTTGTTTGGTTCTGCCATAATTTGTTGAGCCACACCTCCATGATGGACATTTAGATCATTGCCAATATTTTGCTATGACATGGCTGTGATGAGTGACATTGTATAACTACCTCATTTGGCATATGGGCAGGCTTATCAATAGAATAAATTCCTAGAAGTGGAATTATTGGGTCAGAGGTCATGTATGTTGTGATTTGGGCAGAAATTGCCAAATTGCTCACCATAGAGGTTGTACCCGTCCTACCAGCCAAGCAGAAGAGTGTTTCTGCACAGCCTCACCAACTTGCTGTGTTATCAAACTTTTTAGTCTTTGCCAATTTGCTGAGATGTGTTTTGACGGCTGAGTCAACATGGTTTCCTGAGAGTCGGGATTTGGCTAGAGATCAGTGGCACTTTTTTCTCACCTGCCCAGGCTGCTGTGGGACCAAGCCAGAGCATCCCTAGTGAAGCATGTGGATTTCCCGCCCCGCCTCTGCATTGCAGTGGGTCCCGATGGACCGACCAGCAGGAGGTCAGAATGGGGAGATGGCCCAGGTCGCCTCCTTCCTTCCCTCCACCTGCCCCAAGCCCTGGATGGCACAGGCGGGGTTGCCATCATCACCTTCCATCCCCATCCCAACTGAGCGATGGCTTGGAGCCTCTCTACATAGCTTCACGGGGAGGATGGGCCATTCCAGTCTCTCAGTGGGGATGGCTTTCTCAGCTGCTGTGGCTGGCCAGGAAGATAAGGACCTGAGGGATTCTGCAGTAGTCAGATTCATGCTCCTGCTGGCCCATTACTCTCCCTCTTGCAGTGGCATCTGGGAGTGTCTGGAGGATGAGCACAATGTAGGTTTCTATGATGCTGTCCTCAAAAATCATGGCCACGCTGTGAGCGTGAGAGGACTATTATCCATTAATGATTAAACGAACAATGTTAGAATTTTTCTTTATATTTTCTTTCTTAATTGAAAATAAAACGGTGTTGCCATCATTCAAACCCTCCCAAGACAAAGAACAGAAAGAGGCAGCCTCAGGCCAGATACAGGCTGTAGACATGATTTGTTAGGTTTGCACTGTATTGCCCTAAGAGACAATTGATGTTTACACTTGGAATTTATTGCCGATGTTTCAAAATTTTATTTAAATATCATATTTACAGCTTCTCTTAAAAATGTGGGTGATCTGACCGCATTGAGCTTATGTTCTTATGGGGCAATAATCCGCCTGGACTGAGTAGCAGCTGCCCCCTCTAGACACAGCATGGGCTCTGCAGTTTGCCACAATCCCCACCACTCCCTGTTGTCTCCCTGTCATTAAGGCCAGTGTCTGTTGTCATTTGTTATAACGTTAGTGCTGTTGATTCTCTTATAATAGGATGAAAGTTAGATCTTTTGTACCCATATCTTTATGATAAGGGATAAGAAGAGACAGAACAAGAGGTTCATATGTTTCCGGAAAGATGAGAAAGATTTGTTTTATGAAAATGAAGAATAGTCTTTTGTGTTTAATAGGCAACCTCATGTTCTATCTTGAAATTACTCCCTCACACACGCACTTTACTAATTTCCCTTACCTGCCTGTCCCCTCTCGGTATCAGAGTTTATAATTGGTGGTCCCCAACAGCCTCTGAGATCCGGGTTATAGGGAAGCAGCTGAGGAAGCCTAGACCCCACTAAAAAGACCCTTAAAGTCATTGCTTAAATCTGAGCAATGGCAGAATTATGGCCATTTCCTCTCCTGCCGTCCACCTCGGTTAGACAGTGACAGCCTGAGAAACATGACCTTGAACTTCAAGCCTGAGGAGTCTGGGTGGGTGTCGGGAACAGGGCAGGCGTGAGTAGTAGGACCACGGGCCTTCTTTGCAGGGCATCGTGATGAAGTGACCACGTCTCAGTCCGGGCAGGCTGCTGTGACAGAACATTGTGGACTGGGGGGCTTATAAACAACACAAGTTTATTTCTCACTGTTCTGAGGTTAGAAGTCCAAGATCAAGGCGCCGGCAGGTTTGGTGTCTGGTGAGGGCCCGCTTCTTGGTTCATGGGAGGCATCTTCTCTCCTTGTCCTCACGTGGCAGAAGGGGCGAGGGAGCTCTCTGGGGTCTCTTCGTATAAGGGCACTAATCCTATTCATGAGGGCTCTGCTCTCAGGACCCGGTCACCTCCCCAATGCCCCTCCCCCAAGACCATCACATTGGGGGTTAGGTTTCAACATATGAATTTTGGGGACACACATTCAGTCTCTAGCAATCAGGGAGTGGCGCTGGGCACTTGCCCCAGGGCCCCCTCTAACACGGCAATTCCATGGCCTCAGAATTCCATGTCCCTGGGGAGACTGAGTCTTCCTGAGGTCACCTGCCAAACGTCTTTAGACTTGGGAGCTCCTGGCAGCACAGCATGGAGACCAGCAGCGCCTGGGGATTACGTCCCTCCTTTGTCATCGTCAAACCCTCAGTGCGCTCCATGACCCAAGAACAGGTTCGGAACCACTGGCCCGCGAGATCCTCCTGGCTCTGCTGTCTGAGACTCAGTTTTCCAGATGCCTCTCAGATGCAGAGCTGCCAGGAGGCGGAACCGCAGGGCCTCAGTTGTCGCGGAGATGGCCCTCTTACCTCCTGCTGGATGTCTCCAGACCACAGGGCTCAGAAATGTTCCAGGCTGAGCAAATTGATAGAAAATGCAGTGTTCTTCTTTCTGGCCCGAAGACCGGCTCCTAGGCCCAGCTTCTCCTCTGCTGCTCGAAGGCACTTTACCTGGAGCTCCTGGAATTGCTTCCCTCCTCCCACTTGTAACCCACGTTGGCTGCTTTTTCAGGCATCTGTTGGGGGTCAGCATTGTTACTAACACAAAGAGAGACCCAGCCACCACCTGCTTCCCTGACTCAGGAGGACACGTAGGAGGGAAAAGGTCTGCATTTTTCCCAAGGACCGGACAAAAGGCGACAGAGCCCAAGTGAAGCAGGGCGGATGCAGGCTAGACATGTGAAAGAACTTCCTGACTCAGAAGACTGTTAGCTCCCTGAAGAAATAGTGAGGTCTGGCCCATCCTCCCTGATGCTCTCGTTTGTCCAAATTCCAGGAAAATCGGCCATAGAGGCAGCTTCTCCTGAATCAGTCTCAGAAGGCTGAGACGTTAATCTGTATCTAGCAGTCATTTCTCTTGCCAGTAGTCTGGGTCAGCCATGGGTGGGACCAGTGAGACCCAAGTCCCTGGTCACTAGGATACAACGTGTGAATGACTTCGTGATGCTCATCTTTAACATCCCCTTGCCAATCGTATCTGGCCTGGGCTGGTAGACAGAATGAAGCAGTTTGCCCATCCCCCAGCATTCGCCCAATACGTGCCATGTGCGTAGCTCTGGGGTGGAAGCAAAGATATGCGAACATCATCCTCCCTGCCCTTGAGATGCTCGTGGATGAATGTGGGGAGACATGTGTACAGTGCAATGAATCCTAAAATAGAGAGGGACACAAAATGCTGTGGGAAGTGCAGGTGTCAGGAAAGGTTTACCGGAAGAGGTGACATTTGACCTGGGTTTTGAAGATCACGTAGGAGTTTGCCCAGAAGAAAGTGGGAAAAGGTGTTACAGTAAAAGGAACAGCTGTGGCTGATAATATTGCCTTTTTTTTTTCTTGCTGAGGATCCTTATCTTTACTGCTAATACCACCTGAGACAGGTATTGAGTTTTGACAACATTCTAAAGGCCGTTTACATAATAACCCCTTTAGGAGAGGATGCCAGCTGAGATAAATGACATGAGAAACTGCTGTTTGTACATTCTCCCTGAAAAACCTTAGAGTTTGAATCAAGCCCTCTCGCCTTCCCTTCTTATTAAGCATCTATTCCCCTTTCCTGCCTGGTTTGCCCTCCTAAGGGGCGAGAGGTGGACCCATGCCCTGCTTCAGGGCAGAACGTCTGTTTGCAGGTACTAATTAAGCATCCGTCCCATCCTTAGTTGATGCAAGAGGGGGTCTCAGGCCTCAGGAAGTGGGATTTCCATTTGGGGTTCTCCCCTCTTAGCGCGCTGCCCCTCCCTCCAGCCTCCTGCTGACAAAGGGGATCAGGTAGTCAGACGACTGTCATATTGAAATCACCCCCCATCAGAAGCCTGGCAGTTCCTCACCCCCGGGGACTCAGGGCTTGTCGGCTGCTTTCAAAATGTCAAAATCTGTTGAGAAGCTTTTCTCTACTTCCTGGTAAGTGTCAACATCAGCCCAGCCTCTCTGGAGAGCTCCAAATTATGAGGCGAGCAGGGCGTGCTCGTGGGTCCCCATTCTTCAGAGAATAAAGGTCTCCGGGGCCCCTCTGTCCATGAGCACACGCCCCAACTGGCCGGCTGGTGCTGGCTTTGCTGGAAACCAAAAGGGGGCAGGCAGAGCCAGCCTGGCTGCTTCTGAACGAGGGCAAGCCAGCAAAATGCTCTGCCCCTCAGCGACAAGCCACGTGCCTCGGGGAAACCTCCTC